TTGCGGAAGAAGTCCATGCCTAGCACCACCTTGAAATCATCCATCGGTGCTACCGAAAAATCCACTTGGCCCTTCCAAGTGCCTAAGTGTAGCTCCGCGTCTCGTGCTACACCGTTGACCGGTTGTGCTTTAGCGTTAACGGCCTTGAGCCAACCGTCTCGTCTTGCCCACCGTAGGCCAACCCTCTTGGCCTCGTCTTCGGTGATGAAGTTGTGGGTCGCTCCCGTGTCCACCATCACCTTTGCTGGGGTACCGTTGATGCGGGCCTCCACGTACATCAGCCCCTTGCTTGATGTTGCCGGCATCGGATTAGCCTTTAAGGCGTTCAGAAGTTGGAGTGATCCCATGTGGCCTAGCTCCTCGTTTGTGTCTTGCTCGGCCTCTTGTTGTAGGAGTGCCGACAAGGACCCCATCTTGGGACATTGACTCATCGCGTGCGGCCCTTTGCACACGAAGCATCCTCCTTTAGGCACAAACGACTTCTTCTTCTCTTCAAGTTGATGGCGTGAGGATGGCTTGTCTCCTCCCCTCGAGGTTGACGCTCGCCTTGGGTCACGGTTATCTCGATGGTCCCGACCATGATTGTCCCGTCTCTCTTCTCCGCCTTTAGTCGGGCTCCACTTCTCTTTTCGCAACGGCTCTCTCGGTTGATACTCGGTTAAAGACTCGGCGGCGGCAATAGCTTCATCGACGGATTTGATGTCTCGTCGGTGGAGTTCTTGCTTGGCCCAGCCTTGTAACCCATCGGTGAAGTGGAAAAGAAGGTCCTCCTCGGAGAGATTGGGAATTTGAAGGGTGAGGGTGGTGAACTCTGTCACGTACTCGCGGATCGAACTTCGGTGCTTGAGTTCCCTCAACTTCCTTCGAGCCTCATAGACGACGTTCTCCGGGTAGAAGTGTCGCTTGAGTTCCCTCTTGAACTCTTCCCAAGTATCGATTCGGCAAATGCCTTTCTCGATATCGGCGTGCTTTCTACGCCACCACAACATTGCCGTATCGGAAAGGTAAAGGGAAGAAGTTCTTACCTTAGTCGTCTCGTCGACTAGACCGATACCCTCGAAGTATTGCTCCATCCTCCATAAGAAGTTTTCAACTTCCTTGGCGTCCCTTACGCCGTTGAATCCCGTTGGCTTCGGGCAGTCCACCCTTGGACTCGATGTAGCGCCAACGCTACCGTTAGCGGCGGCCTTTTTGCACAAGGCCAAGTCGTCGCGCATCCCCTCGATGCTCTCTTGGAGGGATTGGATGATGGCCTCCAATCGATCCAACCGTTCCTCCCGCAACGCCTCATTGTCCCTAGACAAATCGAGTTGCTCGGCAACGTGATTCTCCAACACTCCCGTATCGTGCTCGAGCTTCTCGAATCTTTCGCTAAGCTCCGCTATGGCGATGTTATTCTCGAGCCTCTCGAGTCTTTCGCCATGATCCGTTAGCACGGCTTTAAAAAGCTCGTAGTTGGACTTTGGGTTGGGTCGGCCGGTCCGCCTCTGGTGTGCACCGGTTGTCTCGTGCCACGTCCCTCGGTCACGTACGAGATATCTTCAACGTTCGTCATCGCTTGGGAATTCGATCAACACAAAGCGAGTGCTCAAAGCAAGCCTACTGTCACGGACTTGTTCCCTCAACAAAGAACCGTGCGGCCTTAGCTCCTTCTCGCCCCTCGCGATAGCTAAGTCAGCCTCTCCCGAATTGTGTTGCGAATACTTAAGTGATGGAAACGAAGAAAGATAGTAGTAGGCAAGAGAGTTGGTAGAAGAATACTTTATTGGATTTGTTGGTGAATGAATACAAATGAGGACCCTACCTCTATTTATACAAGACCACCTCCTCAATGGACGGTGGAGATCGATATGATCTAACGGATGGGAGTGGAGCAATATTTAAGTTGTTGCAGTTAAAAAGCTCGTAGTTGGACTTTGGGTTGGGTCGGCCGGTCCGCCTCTGGTGGGCCAACTTGGGCCTAACCCTACTTGGGCTACAACTTGGACTCTTTGTAACCTCCCCAACCCAAGGGAAATCGGCAAGGGGTTGGGTCAAAACTAGCGGGCCGTGACATGGAGCTCGAGCGCGAGTTCTATCGGGTAAAGCCAATGATTAGAGGCATCGGGGGCGCATTTCACAAGTCTTCATTCGTCTTCCACGTTGCCTCGTACTTGGTATTTCATAGTAGAGGTGAAATTCTTGGATTTATGAAAGACGAACAACTGCGAAAGCATTTGCCAAGGATGTTTTCATTAATCAAGAACGAAAGTTGGGGGCTCGAAGACGATCAGATACCGTCCTAGTCTCAACCATAAACGATGCCGACCAGGGATCGGCGGATGTTGCTTTTAGGACTCCGCCGGCACCTTATGAGAAATCAAAGTCTTTGGGTTCCGGGGGGAGTATGGTCGCAAGGCTGAAACTTAAAGGAATTGACGGAAGGGCACCACCAGGAGTGGAGCCTGCGGCTTAATTTGACTCAACACGGGGAAACTTACCAGGTCCAGACATAGTAAGGATTGACAGACTGAGAGCTCTTTCTATTTTTTTGGGTGGTGGTGCATGGCCGTTCTTAGTTGGTGGAGCGATTTGTCTGGTTAATTCCGTTAACGAACGAGACCTCAGCCTGCTAACTAGCTATGCGGAGGTATCCCTTCGTGGCCAGCTTCTTAGAGGGACTACGGCCTTTTAGGCCGCGGAAGTTTGAGGCAATAACAGGTGTCGGTTTGGCCTATCATAAATCGGCCTCCACCGCTGGTCGTGAGTTCCGGATGCTGCATAAACATAGCTGAGTAGACGTGGGTCTTGATCCTCGTAG